CGCAGAGCGGGGTCGGCGGATATGCCACCACAGAAGCTCTTAGAGCCGTGATATAATGCTATGATGGCCATCTTGAAAGCCTCTCGTAGCCATCCATCTTATAGGCCTCCTAAGCCATCTCATAGGCCCTCCTCTGGCCATCGTTTAGGCCTCCTATGGCCATCTTATAACCTCCCAGGCCATCTCATAAGATCTTTTAAACCTCGTGCGACCATCTTATAGGCATCCTAGGTCAGCTTAAAGGCCTCTTAAAGTAACCTTATTGCCATCTTACCTTATCATAGGCGTCGCATGCCCATCTTATAATCCTCTTGACCTTCCTATAAGCCTCTCCTACCTTAGAGGCCTCTTGGGCCAGCTTTTAAGCCTCTTTCAACCATCTCATACAGGCTTTCTGGCCATCTTACAAACTGTATGAGCGGCTCATGGCCATCTTACAACCTCTTACTTAGGCCATCTTACAGCCCTCTTCTGGCCATCTTATCGGCCTCTTCTAGGCGAAGCCCCTCTTCTGCTCTCCTGCTCCATAAGTCTCTTAAACTTAAAAGCTGCAAGATGCAGCGGCAGCCTCTGTGGTTGAACCTGCCACTCTGGCATTTGTAAGCTGGGACCCTTCATGCAGGACTGCATGGTCCCTGTGTGACGACAACGAAGTGGATCGGTGACGGCCACAACTTCGCTGTGACCATAAGATCATGCAGTTCAGCTGCTCACCTGCACACACTGTAGGATCAGAAGCTATGCAGAGAAACTTGAAGGCCTGGTTTGCGCTTGACGTTTTACGTGCCTTTTAAGCCAGCGAAGGACCCCTTGTCTACAGCTTCTTGGACTTGGAGGACAGGCAGTATGCCAACAACGCGAGCGAGAAGCCCCCCCCTCCAGGGGCCTCTCTGTCTGCCTCCCCTCCCCCTTCACTCTCTCCTTGCCTCCCAGTCCATGTCCCTCCCTCCCTTCCACTCTCCCATCTGCTCACCCACTCCCCCTCTATTCCTCTCCCCATCCTCATCCCCACCTCTTGCTGTCATGCTTTGCTTCTCTCCGTCTCCCTCTCCGTCTCCGTCTGTCTGTCTGTCTGTCTGTCTGTCTGTCTGTCTTGGCAAATGTAATGTGTATCGACGTGCGCTTGCCGTCCTTTCAGCTGCAATGGCTCAAGAACATCGAGCTGAAACAAGCTGGAAACAACTCGAAATAATTTGCCATACTTCTTGCAGCAATGTCTCTTTACCACTTGGAACATGGACCAGGCAGCGCAGGGGCAGGTCGCCAAGAAGCTCAGCCCAAAGGTTCCATGAGATGTTTTTTCAAGCAAGCCAGAAGGGGTCAAACTCGAATGTGATCCAATCTTTCTGCCATCTCGAGTGCAAGTGCCATGGCAATTGTCAAGGCGTTGAAGTTGAACTGCGGCAGCTTGTATATAGATCATTTACGTCTTTTGCTGTTGATTCATGCGCAGGGCGCGCTTTCACCCGGCCTTCTTGAGGCAGATCCTTCCTGCAAGTGCTTTGCTGGCGCCATTTCATTTCTGCCAAGGCTTACATGAGCAGATACGAGCTGAGCAGAGATGAAGTGCGCCTTTGGGGTGATCATCAATGCCGACAGGTGGACCAACAAATAGTGCTAGACTCGCAGGTGCTGGAACAGAAGCAGGCTTTCGACTTGCTGGATATTGATGGCAATGGCAAGGTCACATACCAGGAGGTCAAGGACCTGGATGCACAAGTTGATGCACGAGTAGTCACGGCATTTCTTTTGATCCATTGCGAGGAGATGAACGCCAAGCTTGGACAGCCTATGTCTGAACAGGATCCCAAGAAGCTGTAGCTTGTCATGCTTTAAATTAGTCGGAAGCTGCAGCTCCTGTTTCTGAATCTGCCAGCTGCAGGAGCTTTCTGAGCAGTTCACCACCCTTGATGTTGATGGTCCGCTCCCAGCAAGCAATTGCAAGCAGCTACTCTTGGATCCAAACGAACTCTTCTTGCCTCGCCCCCGCTTTGGTCACTTGAAATAGGAAGTGGCTGTGTGGCATGGCTTTGACGAATAAGCCGCACAAGTTTGCTTGCATTAGATTTGCAGAAAGTAGGGAGCTATTTGCACTGGATTTGTCTTGCCCGGTGAGACTCCAGGTAACAACACGGTGACATTCCCGGAGTTTCTGAAGGTATATGTGAAAGGTGAGCCCTTTCCTCAGCCTTCCTGAGGAAATCCTGGTGGCCAGAGAAACAAGCTGAGGTTCGGCAGGGAGGTGCCACTACCGAGAGGAGAGGAGACGCTGCAAGTCCCCATCCCAGGTATCGCTGCATTTGTTTTGCTTGGTTCGAGCTGCAGCTGCACATCATGAGCAGCAATCTACTGGTTTCACATGTTAGGCATTCATTTTGTCCTGGCCTGCATTCGCCTGCTGCCTCCATCGCTGTGCATTTGTCCACCCGTTTTCCTGAGTCGTGGCTAGCCACTCGTCCCATTCTTCCGCTGCGTGTTGGGTGTGGGCATGGCGGGCGCCCAACATTTGGATGAAAAAGAAGGAACTACGAGGGTCCGTGTGGAAGACATTTATGAGCGAGTTTTGAATGCTCTAGCCCGCTATGGCAGAAAGATCTGGTTGCTTTGCTTCTCGCATTCTTGGAGAGAGTTTGGGATGGACTTCAGGCCGGCTGACGTTCACAATTGAAGCTGATCTGACACGCTCAGAGAGAGACACGGCACATTGTGACCACACGCATTTTTGGCAAAGCAGTTGCCCAGCCACCAATCTTAAAGCAGATATCACAGGAGCTAGAGGAGGAGGCTTTTAGGGCTCAGCACATCAAGGGTTCTCAAGTACAGGACTTGCATCAACTCTTGGGTTTAGGGCCTTAGACTCTGTTGATTACATGCAGAAGACCTGCTCCGGCCAAGAGCTGCTCTGAGAACAGGCCGGTTCCTCGCTTTTGGTTTGCCTCGTTGCTTCGAACTTCGAACGCTAGCGCTTGCTCTTTCACACGTGCCGGTCTTCATTCCTGCTGCAAGTTCTTGCAAGATCTTAACGCTGCAGAGCTCTTTTTGACAAGTGTTACAATGGACAACTCATGAGATCGAACGCAAGGAGCGGTTGTACGTCACTGTACGTCCGTAGTAGAACACAGCTCAGGTCAACGATCTAGCCCCGGGGCTTAGTAGTTCTTCTGATTGCGCTGTCCTCATGTGCTCCGTGCCTTTAGGCACCTGGTCGCGCGCACTCTATGAGCAACACGTGGCTTGGCAACAAGCAGCATTGTGGCGAAATGCATGCAGTGCTTGCTGCAAGGCTGGACCCCATCGACGAGTCCAAGATGATAATGAAGCTGTCTCAAAAGAACAGCGCACGCCTGATACATATGGCCCTTATGTATCGGGCTGTTGCTGCTTTGCTTTGGTTGGAGGAAGGGCGCGGCAATCTGTTTTTTCTGCTTGCGGTGGTTGTGCTGTCTGCCTAGATGTAAAGGGGCTTCTGGTGCTCTGGGCACTGTAGATCAAGCGGGACTCTAGGAGGAACATTCTGAATTCTGAGGTTGAGCAGTCTAAGGACACTTCTCCGTTTCTTCTTCGCCCGGTACTGTAGGGACACTCTGAATTGGGATGATGAAGAAGCTCCTAGGAGAGGAACTTGCGAGAGGCCTGAACCTCAAGATCCGCACCCTCAGCACTTGAATCTTAATCCAAAACAGGTTTGGGCTTCTGGTCTCTGGTTGGGCGTTCCCTTTTTTGTGGTAGGCTCAGCTGCTTCCCTTTGTAAAGGACTGCCTACCCAATTCGAGAACTCGAAGAATATCTTTAGCTTCGGCGCGCTGCATAAAATTCCCGAGCTCGAAAGTATGGAGCTTGAGATTATTTCAGGCCTGGCGGCACAGGCCGGCCTGGCCGTCCCCCTTGCAAAACTCAAAACGGAGTCCTAATTGGCATCAGAATGTGCCAAATCATGAGAAGCCTCTGTAAAAGAGATGTTCTTGCTGATGATGCTCGCGTGCGGGGCGCAGAGAGCCATCTCAAAATCCTTAAAACCGTTGATGATCCGGGTCTCAATAAGCCAGAATGGGATTCCAATTGTGCTGATGATGCTGGTGTACGGGCCAGCATCATCAGCACAATTGAGACCCCATTTTGGCTTAATTGGGACCAGGAAAGGCAAGAACCCAAGAGAAGCCATCAAAGACGACTTTGAGCATGGTTCTCTGAGGTTCTAGCCCACAAGTGCAGCTTATTGCAAATCAGCAGCCACATTTCACGAATTGGACGAGCTCAGGAGCCACAAAAGTGCTGGAAATGTGGACAACACACACCCAACAACCATGCAACATGGACATCTTATAAAGTTTGGCTTGGGCAATGCACGCCAAACCTGTCTCATGCTTGTCATACAGTCCAGATCCTACCAAGACTGATATTTTCAGCAACAGACACGTGCCCAGCCAAGAGCTAGCATCATGAGCATCATGGGGCCTGTTTGGGCCTCCAGTTTCCTTTTGACACCACACATATGAGGTTTCAACACCCATCCAAAAACCCCGGGTATGTTGAGGTGTCCAAAAGTGAGCAACGAAGGCTTTGATGATGCTGGCCTCCAAAAATTATGTTGATTTTTTGACCCCCCAAAAACACGGATCCATGGCTTCCAAATAGGGGGTGGTGTCAGCGGTTGGGGCGTCACCCCCTAAGCATAGCTTCAGCTAGGCGTGCATAAGCACTGGACCACACGGTCAGGACGGACTTATGCTTCATACGGAGTGACGCCACGACCGCCGACCCCTGTTATGAAATTGGTTTTGGAGGTTTGTCCAGACTTTGAAGCTTCCCCCCTGCTGCGGAGGATTTGGTGCAATCCTTTTCACGCGAGTATCATCAGCATAGTCGAGCCCCCAACATACGTAGGATCTTGGAGGGGTCGTGGTATCAAGACGGATGGCGGGCGCCCAGACATGCCCCATGCTGCTCACGATGCTAGGTCTGTGGGGGCTGGGGCCAAAATGTGTTGTAAACTCGCCCCGTACTCATCCTTGGACCTTGTCTTGCAGGTATGCTTCTTAACTGTTTGTTGGTTTATAGGATAGTTAGTTTTGTCTTCCGTCCACTACGGTAGTAGTTAACATTAGTACTTGCCTTGTCGAACTGCAAGTCTGTGTTCTTGTGCGGGACGTTTCGTGATTTTGCCGATGAAAGGCGGAGGTGTGTTTAGGCAGGAGCCGATGCAGTGAGGCGAAGCTTGGGTTGTTATGATGGTTCCGCAAAGGAAGCGGGGAGTAGCGGTAGCGGCACAAAGAGAAAATACGTTGCAATCTGAGAGAAATCTGTTTGAATGTGCAACGCGCAGGGGTGTAGCGCCGTGCAAAAGTTGAATACTCGGTATTGATATTGAAAGCACAGCAGCATTACTAATGAACCTCACCTCCCCCGGCCTCCGGCCCAACACGCACGGCTGGTGCACAGATTTGACCTCGGCCTTCTAGGGCCCGCCCAAAAAAATATTTGGTTTGGCGCCCTTGTTTGGAGCTCGGCCGCCTGGCCGCTGGGCCGGGGTGGCTGGCACCTTCCACACCCCCAATCCCCGAACCTTTTCCCCTTAGATCCTCATCCCAAATGAGTCACTTTGCCACAGGTTCCATGGGAAGCCTGCGCTGGAGTTGGCAAAGCGAAGCTCACCAAGACTTGGCGGTAAAGCGAAGGCCAGGTTAAGTGTGTTGGCATGTGAGTATCTGGCTTCAAAGTTGTGGGGTTTCGGGGTTAAAGGGTTCTGGGTGCAGTGGCGAAGGGTTTCATGCTCTAGGGGCAGATAGGGCATAGGGTTTGAGGGCTATGTAAGGCTAAGAGCTTCCGGATTCTGGTTTAGGGTTGCCGGATATTTTGGGGTTTCTTGGGGCGTTCATAGTTGTTGCCACAAGCAAGGCCAGGTTCTGCAGGGACAGGGGATGCTGGACCTAATTCGTTGGCTCCACAAAGGCGTTCTGCACAAGTCACGACCCAGGTGTGGAGGATCCAGCTCTGGGGCCGCGCCGGAAATGAAGTCAGTTTAGACGAATCTTGTCCTGACAGAACGCGAGATCCGTCGTCCTTGAAGTGCGCCACAGCGAGGCCGAAAGCAAACTGATAGGAGTCTACGAACCCCAATGCAGACACGCGACACGTCATTTATTGCGTGTAATTCGCCTAGATTAAACGCGTCACGCACGGCACGATGCGCAGAACACACGACTAAGACGCTCCACTCTCCATTCCCCACTCTCCACTGTTCACTGCTCACTCTCCATTCTCCAACTCCCCACTCTTCACTCTCCATTCCCTGCATCTACTATCCACCCCATTCTCCCGACATATTCACAAATAGCAAAATTACCGTACAAGAACGCAAATAGGAGAGATCTAGCATTACAAGAAAGGTGGACAATACATCGAGCGCATGATGGCCTTCCAGCAATGACAAGCTAAACAGGTAATTCGTTGTGTCAGGACCGATGACGGCGTCAGACGATGAGACTTTCCTCGCCAGTTGCCCTAAACAACAGTAAGGCCTCAATGATAAGACTATTCCGAGCAATCATGATTTCCACGATAGGAAAGAAAAGGCAAGAACAAAGCTGACAAAAAGACAAATTACGAAGTTTGGTCCACGTAGATGTTGCCTCTGCGTGCGCAAGCTCATGGACGGTTTGGTCTTGAGCGAGCATGCGTAGGTTCGCTCAGACTGAACTAGAAGGATATTGGATAGGATGAAGCCAATTGACCCCTCGCTTTCAGACACATATGTGGGGCCACGGTCACAAGATGTTACTGGAGCTCCAGTTCATTGTCGTTGCAGAGATGTTCCACACGCGAATCATGCATGCAGCGCGTCGCACAGGTCATTTTTGCCCCGTGCCAAGTACATTTGATATTTCACGGAATCTTTGGGTTCTGATTCTGGCTACCTGAAGAGTAGTTCAACATCTGGTCCTTTCACAGCATACGTTTTGAATTGGGGGTCTGCCTCTATGCAGCGCGCAGCAGGGAATCCTCATGCATTCCCGGTGTCCCTGAGGGCCTCCTATTCAAAGACAAACCTCAGTGGAGGTATGGTACAGAAGACTCCAAAGCATCAACCTGCTCTCGCATGCAGCATCTTGCCAGGAACGGTGGAAAAGTATGCCTGAATCCTGACCCTTCCCTCTGATCCTTGGACATGAGTCTGCAACTCGAACTTTCCCAAATTACAGGTCCAGAAATGGGTCATTCTTGAGCCAACCCTTCGAAATTACGCCTGCAAAAACCCTGATTGTACTTTAGGCTGGACCTCATGCCCGGTCAATCTCCACCCCAAATTTAAAACCCTATAAACCTTAAGTTGGAAATGACAAGCCCTGAATTCTTCACTGGCGAGTGTGGCCTTGTTTGCAGAACTTGGTCCAAGAGCTGTGCCGGTTGGAGGCCAAGGACGGGCACGTTTCAGCATTAAGCTAGAAGGTCTTAAACATGTGGATCTGTTCAAGGAGTTCCCACTTCCCACAGTCAGGACTACATATAGGGGGACTTGGTGGTAAGTAACCTCGTCGGTCAGGGCCTTTTTTGGGTTAGGGCTCTGAATGTGCAAGGCTAAGACGTCATGATCAGCCGGACAGCCATGTTACCCCAGTAGCTTCATTCTATGGAAGAAGTATGTGTTTGTCCTGGTCCCGAGAACATGGAATTTTAGCACCTCAATTGGCCCAATATGCTAAACACTATGCGCGATTGAAGGCTCCTGAGCTGGATTCTACGCCCCCGCAAGGCTAATTTCAGCCTTCAGCATATCAACCATTTTGATATTATTTCATGTTGTTTCCATGTGTTCCATATGTTCTCCATACATTTCAGCTTTTTCCAGTGCTTGAAAATTCATATCGCTTCATGTTTTCCAACCGCTCCGGAAATCCAGGAAAATGTGGAAGAGATGTGGACAAGATATAGGAAAATCTGGGAAATTATGGAAAACGATATGGTTGCAAAGGCCTCAGGCAGAGGGACTGCAAGCCTTTGGCCCTCATATCCATATTTTCAGGATTTCCTGGGTTGGGCTGGGATCCCAGCGGGTCACGCGTAGGGCTTTCATAAGAATTGGGCCCTGACATTATCATAAGGGCGTTTCCAAAATGCAGTGCACCATTGGCATGAAACAATCCGGGAAAATAAACCTTGCCGAAAGCGGCCCCTGCCTGACCCTGTTGTCCTCTGAGATGTTTTTTTGCCTGGCGGCTCCTCGGTGTTTTCCTGGGGCACGCTTTCGTTTCTACGTATCTGTCTGGGTGGCAAACCTCAAGCCCGAAGAGCCTAGGGCTTGCGGCTGTGGTCACCTGTTTGGCGCATTCGGGCAATGG